CAATGATTTCTAGCAGACACCTGGAGACAGCTGCATTAGATGTTTTCATCTTAGTTTAACATAGTTTCTGTTTTACATCCGGCCCGTTTGCTGCAGAGCTGCAAAAATATTTGTGTTGAAACACGAATCACTCCGGAGGTGAGATGAAATTCTCATTTGTCTTTAAACAGGTGAACTGTTTTCATCAGATCTGTTGTGTTTAAACTCGCATTAGTTCAGCTGCAGGATTTCCATCAACAAAAAAAATGAGAATAAACCAAAAAAAATTGGATATTTAAGGTGTTTTTGTAGAATTTAAACTACAGGAAAGAAACAGTCACATAAGTTGCTGTAAATTAACATCTTAACGCTCAATAATACAATATATATTATATAAATAAATAACTTATATATATATATATATATATATAGATAAAATAACCTGTGTGTTGTTTTTAAATGTTTCTGGCCTTCAAACACCAACTAACTATTTAAATAAATACGTAAAAGCAGATAAATAATACTTTTAAAAACACGCTAAACAAAAATCAGGGTGTCTCCACATCCTGGAAAAGTTAGTTATATTCAAAGCCTTGATTCTGATTATGGTTTCAAGATGTCAAAGGTCTTAAATATGTTGTTAACTTCTTCTGGTGCCACATTAACAACAAGTCAGGTTGAATTCTGCACCTTTAAACAGGCCAACGTTTGGTTTATTCAGCTGTATTTGGGGCATTCTTATGAACACCATGCTGGACTCAAACCAGTGACGGTTCAGGGTTGGTACGTGGAATTTAAATTGGCATTAAAAGATTATTCCAGAATTATTCCAGCGTTTTACAAAGTTTTTAGGAGCTGCGAGAGAAAAAAAAGAAGGTGGTTAAAGACTAGATCCTACATTTCCCATAATGCAACGTGTCTTTCATGCGTCTCTTCCTGTTCACACTCCTCGGTGTCCTAAATATAAATAATATATCTTAAACGTGCAGAGTCGCTAAACCCTCAGTCTCTCTGCTAATCACGACGACTCCGGAGGGTCGAGAAAGTCGCTGCACTAACGGATGTTTTTCGGTCGTGGCCTCTCGTGGAGGGCGGGGTCAGTAAACAGGAGACCATCTAAGGAGAGACACACACACACTCACACTCTCACACACTCACACACACGCACTCAACATGAAACTACACACTGTCAGAGTGAAAGTTATTAATTCGAATCCAACGACGACAACAATCAACTGTCACTCTGATGTTAACTGAACGCTCACATTCACACTGATACTCTCTGTCTCTTTCTCTCTCTCTCTCTCTCTCTCTGTCTCTCCGTCTGTCTCTTTCTGTCTCTCTCTCTCTCCATCGCTCTCTCTCTCTCTCTTTGTCTCTCTGTCGTGTCTCCCTCTCTCTCTCTCTTTCTCTCTCTCTCTCTCTCTCTCTGTCTCTCCGTCTGTCTCTTTCTGTCTCTCTCTCTCTCTCTCTCTTTGTCTCTCTGTCGTGTCTCTCTCTCTCTCTCTCTCTCCCTCTCTCTCGCTCTCTCACCACAGCAGTGGTATTACTGGAGTGTCTGATGTGGTCTCTCTCACCTCATGTAACCATCTCTTTTCCTCTTTGCTCTCTTCGTCTTTGTCTTTTTTATATTATCTCTCTCTTCTGTCTTTTCCTTCCTCATTTTCCTCTTCTCTCCTTTCGTCCTTCCCTTTCCTTTCCTCTCCTTCCCTCTGCTGTTTCTGAACTTACTCATTTCCTCCTCTTCTCTCAATAATTCATTACTTCACGAGTCTTAATTTTCTCTCCTCTCCGTTTTGTTCATATTTTATGATTTTTGTTTCCCAAACGTTTAAAGTGTGTTTAAAATAATGAGATTAGATCAAAATGTAGAATAGAATAAGAGAAGGGCTTCCTCTAATAATGTGTGTATCTGCTTTGTGACCCGTATTAAGAAATAAATGATCCACTCTTTAATGAATTATTGTCCCTCCTCCTCCTCTCTCTCTCCGTCCAGGTGAGCCGAAGCGCTACCAGGTGGTGATCCACGGCATCGAGCCGCTGCTGGAGACGCCTCTGCAGTGGCTCAGCGAACACCTCAGCCACCCCGACAACTTCCTGCACATCTGCGTCCTCCCCGTCCCGTCTGACTGAGGCCCCGCCCACACGCCCCGCTGTCACCGTGATGACCGACCGGCCCGGGTTAACTCCGGTGCTAAACGGCGAAAAAAAACTAAACTCTGAACTAACGGACTCTCTAAACGAGAAGGATGAAGACGAACAAAGGATGTGAGGGAGGTATCTAACAAACCTCCCTTTTCCTATTTATATTTGTACTCCTCCTAGCTTCACCTCCACTACTCCTCCTTTCCCCTCCGAAAACTACTTTATAGGACGCAAGGATGAACTCCCACGAGGAAAGAGGACGTCTCCTTCCTCCTCTCCGGTCAAACACCTCCATGGGAGGAGAGGAGGCTTTCCCCGCATCTTGTCACACATCTCCCTCCTCGTCCGGTCCGAGATAAAGACTGTCCCGTCGACAGGGAGACACGATTGTTCGGGATTTTTAGGGAGAGGCGTATCCTGCTGAAGTTGCCTTAGTTACCACGTTCATGCATTTTCATCGGCATCCGGCAAAAAAAAAAAAAATGTGACATCACAGCCTGCAAACGTTTTACAGCGGATTCTCTGTTGATGAGGTGAGCCGGAGTAAGAAGCTGTTTGGTGCCACTGTTGAGATGAGATATCTAATTAGTTTTTATGTTATTATTTGATGTGGTACTGTTCCTGAATTAACATTAATTAAACTGCAGCCAATTTAGTTTACTTTCACTTTTCTTTCTATCTCCACCTTCAGGATGAAACTTATCTTCAGAGTTGAAATACGCTAAAATGTTCCTTTAATAGCTTAAAAAAATGGATGAAGTAAAGACGACATGTTTGTTTTAAACTTGTTTTTGTTGTTTTCACGGTATTTTGAGAGTGAACCAGCTATTTTTATGAGACTAAAACAAAAGGGGCGAGGGGGGGAAACCAAATAATAATAAAGTCCACACATGTCTTCAATAGCAGGTGTTGATTTCTCACCATCAAAACAACACAGTTTAGCTGTTTTACTGTCTGTATTTGTCAGGTTTGGCTCGAGCCTCTTTGTCTGCAGCCGAAGTTAAAAACGAGCATCTGGTTTTGTTTTGTTTTAAGAACTCGGCTCAGATAATGAGACAGCGGGCGCGATTAGCGTCAGCTCTCCAGGCTGTTGTTTGTCCAACGTTATGCTTTCACCGTCGAAGTTCAGTTTGTGGACAGAAACAGAAACTGGCAAAAGCATCGATGACATCGTAATTAATCAATCATTGTTGTGTTTTTGTTTTTTTTATACATCTGTTCATACTGAAATAAAATGAGGCTCAATGCATCAACTGGCACTGTTATCAAGAATGAGTTCAAATAAAAGTGAATGGATTTAACTGTCAGAGAGTTATTGACTGTGAAGACAGACTGCACATTACGTACTGAAGCACCGCTCAGCATGAAAGGTCCGCTCAGCAGAACCCTCCCAGGTCACATGACATGGTTTCTGTTTCATATTCCAGCTGGGCTTCATTTAAAGTCTCTCAGTGCTGGTGACAAAATGTTACCTGAGTTTTAGTACCGATACCACAACAATACTTCTTCTGTATCTTACTTTGTAGGTTCCTCTCTTTAATTTAGCAAATAATGACCCGCTCGCTGTACATTATCCCACTTACTAAAGAAATCAATAACTTGACACTAAATATAGATTAAAAAATATTTTATTGATTTAAACATCTTATCAATACAAAAAATATTTCAATGATTTAAAAATATTTTGTATTTATTTAAAAAATATTTAATTTATTTTAAAAATATTTTATTTATTTAAAGATTATTTTACTGATTTAAAAAAAGTTATTTTTTAATTATTTTGATTTAACGATTTTATTATTGATTCAAAAATGTATCTTATTGATTTAAATATTTTTTATTTAAAGAAGTGGTTTAAAAATGATTTTAAATTATTTAAAAAATATTTTATTGATTTACAAATTATTTAAATGCTTCCTCTAAAACACATCCTGTACGTCCTCTCGCTGTGTACGGAAATCAGAAGTGCTTTGAGTATTCAACCCCTTCAGGGTGATTCAAGACCTGCTCACCTTCCCTATAATAACTTGTAACTGTACATTACCTCGTACATACATAACTTGTACTGCGGTCGTGATTAGCCGGCTGGTGAAAGTGTCTTTTTTGGAAGGGGGGGGGGAGGGGGGGTTTGAACCAGCAGACAAGACAAAGTCAGCGCTCTCCCCCTCCGGTGTTTCACCGTCTTTTCACTTCATCTCATAAAGAACATCTCACTCTTGTGTGTTTTACTGCTGACACTCGCTCTGCCTCTCTCTCTCTTCATCTCTCCTGGTTAATTATCTGTTGGCATTCCACCCGCTGCTAATGAGACCACTAAACTGTGCTGTCAGACAGGCCTCAGGCCCTGTGTGAGTGTGTGTGCGCGCGTGTGTGTGTGTGTGTGTGTGTGTGTGTGTGTACACGAGTCTGTCTTGAAGTGAGCTGTTTTCGTGGAATCAAACCGTACAGTGTGAGTGTGTGTGATTTGTGTGTGTACATAATTGCAGACATCGTTTATAGCCCCCCGCAGGTGTGTGTTTGTGTGGGTGTAGAAATTCTCACACACACTCATCTCTTGTCACACTGCCAGTCTGCTAATTCAAAGTGTGTGTGTGTGTGTGTTGTGTTGTGTGAGTGATGTCACGCATTATGTCATCACGTCAGGCTCTTCCTCACCGCTGCTGCCGCCAAACGTGATGAAACGGTGGGTTTATGGTGTTGAGTCAAGACCGGGGGCTCTGCGTGGGGTACGGTGTGTGTGTGTGTGTTTGTGTGTTTGTGTACATACTGCAGCTCTAGATGCCGTGATGAAGAGTCTGTCATCTCGCTGACACACACTCTTTTATGGGATTTCCCCGAGCTGCCGTCGACCCCCGCACACCGAGGAGAGAGTGAGATGTGCTGTGAGGTGTTTGGATGGAATGAGTCGGAGCTAAAATTGTGTGCAGGGATGCATTTACTACATTTGTTTCTTTTTTTCACTCCCTGACGGTGTCTGAGTGGAAATGTTTGACTTGTTTTGTTGTATTTTGGTTCATCACGCTGAAAAAATGTTTTTATGAATTTCAGATGTTCCCAAACTCCCTCCCTCTAACTTCCTTTTTATATAAGAGAATGATAACAGAGCAAAGCTCTTCTTTAACCCCCAATCACATAATCACATAAGCTGCCCAGTACAACCACAATCTGCTCCTCTGGAATCTGAGCAGGGCGAGGTCACCCCAGTGGTGGTAATGAGGTTTATTCTACCTGCCTGGAGTTTGAACTAGTGACCTTCCAAGTTGGGAGCTCTCAGAAACCGACGCTTCGGTACAAAGACGATGCTCAGCATTGTCTTGAAAAAGACAAAGACTCAGCTCGTCGTGAAGAAAATGATTTAGCAACACGAAAATGTTAAATACTCGCCAGAAAATACTATGTCTAGGGCTTTTATTGTGAAAGGTAAGAGCAGAAAAAGAGTGGATCTGGGCCCAATCTTTGAGGCATGTTCCTGCAAAGTCCAAGAGGGTTTATGGCCGATCTTGAGTGTTTGAAGGTTCTTTTACAGACACTTTGAGCTCTTTATGAACACTTTCTGTAAGTTCGCATTTCTGCAGCCTTTGCCTGAGGGAATTACCCACAATTCATAGCGTACACATAAACATGAAGGATTAACTATGGAACATTAAAACATATGAAAGCACAGATTAAATTACAGATTTATTCATCAAACATTTCATTTTGTTATTAAAGCTGTTTTGACAAAAACAAGTAAATAGATTAATTTGACAATGACCTCTCATCTCGTGAGACAAAAATCCTGGAAGTCATTCAAATCAGGAGTAAAGGTAACGTGATATATCGCGTCCCGTCCGTATTTACACCATTTCAGGCCCTCACGTCATTTAACAGGTGACGGCAGTGAAGTCCCTGAGGGTTCAGGGTCTGCGCGGCCTTTGTCAAGATTTAAAGGAGTAATAAAGTTCCCGTTCCACGGCGTATATTTGTTGATGCCTTTTTTTTTAGCTCAGAATAAAAATCAACCTTTTCCTTCGACCTTTAACCCTTTCAAAGTGAGTCTGCAGTCCAGTGTTCTGCTGCTCTGAGCTCCATCCTCTCACGATGGCGACGGCAAAAAATGCCGAGCTCACGGCTTCAAGACCGTTGTTTAGTTTGTGTCCGAATGTAATTAGTGTCAGGGAGGTTTTCATCAACAGCTCGAGTTTGTGTCTCCGTATACCAGCTGCAAACACTGTTTGTTCCAATAATAGAACAAACTTTACCGGACATCTGATTTCCAGCAGATTCCGTGAAACACACACTTTTACCATCAGCCCAGACCACAAACTAAGGCCTGCAGCCAGCTCCGTCCCCTACTGTCCTCCCTCAGTCTCTCTGCTGCTCTTTAAGCGTCTCCGCTGGGCATCACACAGCAGAGCAGAGATCAAGAAGAACAACAGATGAGAGTGATTAGTGATGAAGAGGAAGTCATGAGTGTTTGTACCCCCTCACCCTCTGAAACTGCACACACACACACACACACACACACACACACACACACACACACACACAAACACTACGCAGACGGGGACGGAGGAGGAACAAGACAACATACTGTACGTGTTCCTGCTGCTGCTTCCTTCACCTTTTTCCCCTCTTATGAATTTGCACTCCTGTTAACACACTCTTCACTCCATCACTGTGGCTTCACTTCATCAGTAGTCGTGTTTTTGGATTTAAATTCAGTTCCAGAAAGTATTAAAAATTGTTTCTTAAATTTATTTTACTGCTGATGTTCTTGCACAAACACACAAACATGAACTTTGCTCAGAACCACGTTGGGCCTTTTTAAGATTGAATGAAACATGAATCACATTCATTTAACACCAGAAGTCAAGAATCCACGTCTGGTTTGTGTGAGCGAGTGTTGGAGGCCATCGATACGGAAAAGAAGACGATTTTGAGAATAAAGTCAAAGTATCTTGGTAAATCTACGACTTTATGGAGGAGTGACGCAAATTCTCATTTGTTTGGAAATAAATTCAGATTTGTGTCTTTATTTTCATCTTATTCTCAGAAGTACAGATTTGAGCCGTCTCATTAAACCTGCGTTGTTCTATCATCATCATCTTGCTGACCATCTGCGGTCGGTGACTGTTTGGTTTCCTCTCTGGCTCTGGACTCTAGCGGCCCACGTTGTGCTGCGTTCAGAGGTAACGTGGATAATGAGAGTGATTACAGTTTACCGGCAGTCCAGCCTTTTTCTCTTTCTTCCTTCCTGTCACTGCAGTAAACACCGGCCCTCTGCATGCTGGGACTCCTCGCTTTTAGTTCCTCCTGAAGATGTTTAAATGTGTCACATTAATGTCTGATATTAAAGACAGTTTGTGTGTTTGCATGAGTTCAATTATCTTTAAGGTCTTCATGGAACACACAGAGCAGAGCCACTTTGATGGTTGAACTGTCTGAGAAGAGCGAATGTTACGCGCTATTCTGTTATATTAAAAGTATTTTTAACCCCCAAAATATCGAGCAAACAAATGAGCGCTGATTTTATGATCAAAATCAAAAAACATCTTTTGGATCAAACTGGGCTAACTTTGGTGGATAAGTGATGGTGCAAATTTGTTCAATATCACTTCTGTTTCAACACGATTTTTGTGTTTCACACTGAAATAAAGCACTTGAGATTATCACTCCATCCCATCAGTGGTCTCATACAATCACACTGATTCATCATATTCAACGGACGAATTGAAGTTTGTTAAAGTTGAAGATCATTAAATGTCAATGAAACTTCATTCCAACAGCTGATTGGTTTGTTCTTCTCTTCCAGTAAAACCAGTAAACGTTCAGCGAACCAGAAGTGTGTCTTTGTGTCTCTGTTCCTGGCAGTGTGACACACACACACACACACACACACGAACACACACAAACAAACATGCACACACACACACGCACGCACACACACACGCACACACACGCATGCACGCGCACACACACACACACGCGCACACACACACACACACACACACACCCTCCCTTCTGTGGTTCTCTCTCGGGGGACGAAGGGATGGACGTCCATTTTTTAACGAGAGCGCGACGGCCTTTGAAGTCTGTAATGATTCAAAGGACACAGTTCACTCTCTCTCGGTTTCTCTCCCCCCCCCCACACACACACACACTCATATGACGCATTAAATGTCTGCCGTCTTTTTAATCTCCTCTTTCTTTCTTTAACGCTCTTCTTTTTCTTGTAAAAAATCCAAAGTGTACAATTCTGTCTTTGTCTCCCTCTCTCCTCTTCACTTTCTTCTTTTGTCTCTAAAGGGAAACAAAAAAA